CAATTACACTATATAACACGATTTTTGTTCCTGGGAAGTACAGTGTTATTTTCTAATTTCTTATGCCTCAAACGTATAGAAAATAGCTATTCCCCACAAACTTTGCTTTTGTGAGCAGGACTTTACGTGAAGGAATGACACAAATGCACACATTTTCTCATTGAAAATTGGTAAATTTCAAAATATCACTGTCCTGGTCACAAAAACAAAGTTTGTGGGGAATAATAGCTATTTTATGTACTTATGAGGCGTAAGCAATTAGGAAATAACACTACACATGAACAAAAAAATTAATACATCTCTTACACAGTGTTATTAATGGAGTGCATTATTAACTTTGCTTTTGTGTCCTGGTCACAAAAGCAAAGTTTGTGGGGAATTATATCCATTTTCGGTACTTTTGAGGCATGAGCAAATTAGTAGTAGCTAATCTAAACACGTTACCTGCTCTTTATGATTGATGCCTGGTTGTCCTTTAATCAGCTAAGCCAGTGTTCATCTACATTAATTCTCTGTGACTCATCATAGGGGGAGATTTATTTTTAGTTCAACCGCAGGAAGATGCAGCTCTACTCTTTTCATTTGAGGAGCCATATGTATACGATATGCTCTAGGTTTTGTTTCCCGTATCTCAGTAGGCTCCGCAATCGTAAGACCTTAATGCGGCAACTTTGAGCTCAAGCAAAAGTAGTGATTGCTTCTTCCTAGAACAGGCGTACATTTCATACGTGTTAATATTTGTAGTTGTTTTTTTCCTTAAAAGTTAATTTAAACGTGCCTATGCATATAACCCGAGGCGATTAAACGTTCAGGTGTGGGACGCGACTAATGAAATGAGCTCGCGCTGGGAGTGGGTTGGAGCAGAGGGGATGGATGTAGCAGCAGCAGCAGAAGCAGCGCAGGAGAGAGCTCATTTACATTCACGGGGGACGACGATGTGCCCTGCTCGTGCTCTGCGGGGTGGGGAGGGGGCTCTGAGACGGTGACATCATGGCGCGGTCACGTCGACGGCGGCGGGGGCGGGGCCGAGTCGCGCGCACGGTAATTGTCACGACTGTGGTTTTTGGTGCCTCCGTTTCAATATTGTGCAAAGCCGCAGTGATGTCGCGTCCATTCTTGCGCCGTGATGGGCAGCAGCGACAACGGTTCCGGAGCGAACGCGTGCCCACGTCGAACTCCGCTTCAAGCGCAATGAAACGGAGAGCAGGCGACGGGTTGTTTACTGTACGGGCCCCGTAGTTAAGAAGCTGCGGTGGCCACAATCGCACTGCTCGTGGCTTGTGTCTTTAATATCCCATAATGAGGGAGATGCGTAACATCAACATGCTGTTTATTTGCGGTGGTTCATAGTTCCACCGGTGTCGTCGAGCGATGTCAAAGGCAGGAGATTTTGGGTCTCGAACTAGGTGTTTGTGCATGCCATATACGGAATATTCTATGCACTTATTTATAACTCTTCAGTGTTATTACTTAACAGCATCCTAAACTCGAGGGCGCCATAGTAATGGGTACAATTATCTAGGGAAATGTCATGCTGGCCTGATATGCTGTTGCTGCTGCTGCTGCCTTATGGCAGTTTATTTAAAAAAAAATGTTTTTCAAATGTTCTCTTTGGCATTGGCATAGATTGGCCAACTCCTGTCAATCATGATGTAGCAGCGTGCAATAAACTACAAATGTAATCAGATGGGTGCAGGAATTACATTTCCGACAGAATCTAGGTCACACTAAGTTAATACAATTATTATATTGCACGTCTTTAAAATATAACCGTTCTTGTGCACTAAGTGCATATTGAAATAATTCTGGGCACTGCCATAGAAATATGGCATTTTTTACCTCTGGCTAAGGGCTTCCGAAGGATATTACAAATATCCATGATTCTATATTAAATGACATTTGAACTTGCGACTTTGCTCTAATTAATATAGATTTAAAATGTTTACACAATCGCATGATCCAATCCAACAATACCTTTATAAGGAGTGACTAATCCCATATCTGCTAAATTCCTCTGTTGATATGTAAACTCCTTTGTCAAGGCGCTCCCCTCCTCCCACCCAGCTTAAAATACGCTGCCAAGCTTAGCAGTGTTCATTAGGATGCTGTCTTTCCGACAGCTCTGTTCTTCACCTGAGGACGGCTGCTTGCGTTTTGGCAGAAACGTCGTGAGAATTTTATTTTATAATGTTTTATTATTTTAGTATTTCCCTTCCACGTGACTTTACTGAAAGAACCAAGAATATGAATACCTTTATAGATACCAGAAATAATCACGTTAATAACAAGACCGTTCATCATGGGACCGCTCCAGATTTTTCAACAAAATGTATGGTTAACTGCTAATCATGCACATTCCTCCAGGCAATGTATTCAAAGCAATGACAATACACTACTCTAATACAGCAATCAGATTTAACATTAAAACAGACATTTTAAAAGCAGACTTAACGCCAGACCGGGCTGTAGATTATTGAACTTGTGCTGCACCACTATCCAGCAATATAATGGTTAACCGATGTTTAAACATGGTGCACATTATTCTTTACTGTCGTGCAACCTTACATTTATCCATGCAAAATAAGCCTTCCAAAATACCTCAAACATACGGTGCTCAAGTTGCTCGTGGTTTGCATCTCATTGTGAGTGCTGTTCTAGCTGTGACAGAACTAATTTCCTATAAATTATACAATAACTACAACACTACTCTTTTTTAACATAAAAATCATGTGACTGTATTAGGATGACCTTTATTACTTAATGTGAAGAGCACTTGACAACTGGGGGGATTGGGATGGGGGGGGTGGATTTTTAGTCATGCAGTTAATTTTATATGATTGTAATTACATGCAGGGATGGAGTGGCGGTGCAATGGTTAGCACACTGTGCTCAGAACCCCGACCACTTACGTTTTATTTGTAGCCGCGGCCAACATTGGTGGCCAGCGATATTTGAACTGGTCCTGGGGCCCACCATCACCAATCTGCCCTGGACGCCTGTGCAAAAAAGGAGCTTCATGGTTCGTCGGATTCATCCAGTATTCATAAAGATTTTGCCCAGGATGAAGGCCTCTCCACACTGTTTTACAATGCCATGATCCACCTGAACCCATTACATTGCCTCATTCCCACTGTGCTTCTCCCCAGCGCCCTCTCCTTTGGCTACCATTCCATCGCTCGTCTTGTCCAATGGCCATCGGCTATTCTTTTGGTGTCTCCTGCTCAAGCCCACAATGGCGTCGCGGTGGCGAGATGTTAACTACCTCACCTAGTCCACAGGAGATCGTGGGTTCAATCCCGACCCCAACACCTGTATATTTGGAGTTTACATGTTCTCCCCGTGGTCGCGGAAATTTTTCTCTGGGTCCTCCGGTTTTTCGTTCCACATTTATAAACGTGCATTTAGAGTATTTGGCTGCTATAGATTTCCACTTGATAAGCCACCTTATTGACCTATCATTTGTGGCCAGGTTGCTATTTGCACCTGATTTCTGATCCACGTGTTTCTGTCGATGATCTCGTGTCAATGTAGGCTATATGATTTAATAGAAAACCTTCTTGATTGGGTACAGTGGGTTTGCAGCTTTCTGTTGTCAATTTGAGCTTTTCCAACAGTGCCAAATCCTCTGCTCTCACTCACATCGGTTTCATAATCGTTATCCAGATCTGCCTTTAACATTTTGCACTTGTTAAAACATCCCGCTGTGTTTTCTGGTAATATCCCTTCAAATGTTATTTAATTGTTGTCCATAATTTTGTTATGTAGGCTTCTTTATGCCATTCTACAATGATGATGGTCAGCACATCTTGAATGGCTAATACTCAGTTTTTTCTTTACTTCCTCAACTTACGTTTTCTTAAAATACTTTGCACATCTCTTCAGTGTTATGGGTTTTTTGTAAGTGGTTTCGATAAATTGGATGACTGTTTCGGCCTCCATTGAAAGAAAACGTCGTTTGACAACCAATCAGAGCCACGCATACTGGTATTGGATATGCTAAACAATGTGTATATGATTAATGGAAACATTTTCATAACTTGATTGTTTGGCTTCTAAAATGGCCATGATTTGGTCCTATCAGCATTGGGGAGACAAAAGTGGCTGTGCGTAGAGATTACCACACCACCACATGCTTGTACTGACCCGGTATTGGTTGTGCTGGCCCCACCAGTGTGTAAGGTCACTTTTGGGAGTTATGTGTGAGTGAGCATTTGGGAGTTGTGTGTGTGAGGATGTGGGAGTTATGTGTGTGTGCACGAGCAGTGATGCAGTAGACCAAGCACCACCTTATGATCCCAGCGGCATGGGATTGCTCCCTAACCCCACACATTCCTGCCACGTTATATCTGAATGTGGTAATGGGTTTCCCCTCAGTTAACTTGGTTTTTAAATGAGTATTTGATGGGCTGTGTAAACATAGCCATGATAGGTAGTTACTGACATCGCTTGCCCCTTTGGTCTGTAGACTAAACAGGCTACCTTTCTATTGTGCAATAAGTCAATATGTATTATGAACGATATGGTAAAACAATGTATACTTTAATTTTACTTAATCTGTCCAAATGTATCTCTAACCAGTAATGGATTAGTGCACCTAGTGTGGGTTTTCAGATCCTTATATTAAGTTGGTGCACCATCTTTAGTTTTGTAAAGGTTTTTGGCTGCTTATGCACGTAAAAAATGCAAAGACTTTCAAAGATTACACCTGCAGCTTCTTGCTAAATTTGTGACTTAAGTGTATTGAAATATTGCGTGTCTCATGTCAAGTGTGAATACCGACTATTACTAATTAAAATCTGGCATTATAGCCAGTTCACCAATATTGCATATTGGTCTTCAGTCTGACCTATCAACCTCAGCACTGCCCTTGTATTTAACTCTTGTGAATTATTTAAGCTGGACCTCTTGTTGGTTGTTATATATTGGTGGTGGGTGCACTTTAATTATTGAACAAGTAAGCCTATGGTGTTCTGTCATTTTGTCACTTCCTTTCTTTCCAGGTGATTACATCGTCATGACGGTTTATTTTGATTTGGTGAGAAGAATGGGATATTTCACCATTCAGACGTACATCCCCTGCATACTGATCGTTGTGCTGTCATGGGTGTCCTTTTGGATCAACAAAGATGCCACTCCCGCCAGAACATCCCTTGGTGAGTCCCATAATTGATGACTTTGGTCAGTGTTAATGTTTCTGCATGATTTTGTTGTTATATATCGATATATATTTTAACTAGACTTATTGTTCGTTATATATTTGTGTGTATATATGTAGTGCCGTGAATTTACTCGGACGACAACCGCCTTTCTTCCACCGTCACTTTTATTCCAGCGTTCCGCACACACACACACTTTATATAGTTTCACACACACACACACTTTATAATTTCACACACACACACTTTATAATTTCTCCTCTTCGTGCTCCGCCAACTCGGACACTCCGATTCACCTCAGCACCGTCCGCTCATCCTCCTTCCACACACAGTGGTTCTCTCTCTATCTCCTCACACACAGTGTCTCCTCTATCTCTTCACACGCAGTGACTTTCTCTATCTCCGCACACACAGTGACTTGTCTGTCTATTCACACACAGTGACTCTAGCTATCTCTGCACACACAGTGACTTGTCTGTCTATTCACACACAGTGACTCTAGCTATCTCCCCCGTAACTACCTCTCTGCTAACGCTAACTCTCCCTATCGCTATTTACCATCCTTTGGGTTCGGCTCCCAGTCTATTCTTCCCTCAACTCCCCGTTCAAATCACCTAGCGTTTTATCCCCTTTCCAATCAGCATTAATTGCCACGTGGCTCGCTGGCATTTTCCCACCAGCTCGCACCTGTCCAACGGTCCAGACTTCGCGACGCCGCCACTTAACGCTAACAGCCTCTCGACCAATCATAGCCCTCGTGCCATGACTCCTTTAATTACTTCGGTTTGTTTACACCACCCGTGACTCCACCACCTGCTCGAACTTATGTGACCCACACTGCTTGTATGTCTGTATGTACTGTATGTGGCCAATTTACCCATGCGTATCTTTTACTCCACTACATCACCCCCCCCTCCCCCCCGGTGATGAAAGAACCTAGCCGTCCCCGGCTACGATATACTCGAATTGGAGTAGTGGAGTGAAGCGGACGGAACGATGATAACATATATACAGAACGCATTCGCAACACATAACCATTTTGTACAACCACCCGACACGCACCAAACAACGACATGCACACAACACCTTTATACAGAATTCCCAACCCCCCAAAGTCAACGTATTGTATTCCTCCTGGAACGGGTTCCCGCTGCCGGCCCATCTCCCCTGCACGGGACACACCCTGCGGTAAGGGAGGGCCTTGCTCGTCTCGCCAACGAGGGGCGCTCCTGGGCTCCACCCTGCGCCCATCCCTGTCCCAGCGACACTCCGCTGGCGGGGCTGTCCGTCGTTCACGGTCGGGATGGCCATTGGTCCGGATCTGTGGCCGTTCAATCGGCGTCCGGTCAGCAACCTTGCCCAAAAAGGGCGATCCTGCAGGCACACGGGGGGCAGATCTCTGGGACACGCGCACTTGTGACCTCCCCACAGGTTCGTCGGACACATCCAATACAGGCCGCTCTCGGATGGGGACGACGCGTCATATGGTAACAAATTTCTTCAGGCGCGACCGGTGAACAAACCATGTCCGACGACCGAATTTTATTTGCACACTCTGATCCCGTAAAACCTCCACAATATCAACGGGCCCCTGCCAGGGGCGGTGAAACTTCGGGGACGTTCCCACTGGCACCATGGGGCAGTGCAGCCAGGCTTTATCTCCAACACTCCACGGCCCTCGTGGCCGCTGCCTGCCGTACAGTCTTTCGTTAGCGGCTTGTCGTCGTGCCGTATTTTTCAATGCAGCCTCCCGGGCTTCCCTCAGACGGTCTAAAGCCACCTGCATCAGAGCAGGCACCGTCGTAGATTTCTCCCGTTTTCGAATCCCCAATTTAACAATAGCCGGCACTTCCGGTTCCCATCCATACATTAGAAAAAATGGCGAGTACCCCGTTGAGGCATGCGGGGCCAATCTATATGCGGCCAGCGTCGCTGCAACATGCAGGTCCCAATTATCTTGAGCGGTGTTTACTTGGTGACAAAGCATGGACATCAGCGTCCTATGCAGCCGCTCGACCATCCCATCAGTCTGCGGGTGGTACGGGGACGTCCGGATCTTTTTGGTCCCCAGTGAGTCACACACGTCTTTAATCAATTTTGATGAAATTTTTTTGCCTTGGTCAGTAAGCAAATGTTCCGGGGCCCCCTTATCTAATATGTATCCTTTCAAGAAAGCCTCAGCGATCAACGTCGCTGACTGGTCTACTAGCGGCCATGCCATCGGCCAACGAGTTAAGTATTCCACCCCGACGAGCAAATATCTGTGCCCTCGGGGGGTGACGGGGAACGGACCCAAAATATCTAGTACCACAATTTCGTTCACTCTCGAAACTTGAATCGATTGCAATGGGACACGATATGGCCGTGCCGGCGCTTTCCTCCGTGCACATTCCTGGCACGCTTTTACATGCTGTTTCACATCGTTAAACATTCCCGGCCAGTAAAATTCACTCCCCACTGTCAACGCGGTCTTCTTCTCCCCCAGATGCATCAATTTCTCATGTATCTCGTTAATCACTTTCCCCCGCAACACCCTCGGGACAACAATACAAAATTTTTGTGCTTCCACATCCCAGCGAACAAGCAACCCCTCCGTCAACATCAAAAATGGGCGATCCTCCGATCCCCTTGAACGAGAGGCACGCAGCCTCATCCTGGTCAGCAAGGAATCTTCTACCTGCAGTTGCTTCCACTGCTTCAATGACAACCCCAACAATCCAATGTCTGCTCCAGGGATTATCCCTGGCACCCCCGAACCCGCTGCAGCGACCGTTTGCGGAACCTCCTGCAGCGGCGGGCCGCAACGCAGCGAGCCCTCTGCGCACCGATACGTCTCAGCTGGTTGCGGCAACCTCGACAAAGCATCCGCGTTTACATGGTGCGTTCCTTTCCTATGCTGGATCGTGAAAGAGTACTCCTGGAGGGTCTCAAGCCAGCGAGCCATTTGCCCCGACGGCTGATCCACGCGCAGCGAGTACTGTAGTGCCGCGTGATCAGTGCGGATCAAAAATTCTCTGCCGTACAGATACGGTCGGTACTGGCGAACAAAATGGACAATCGCAAACAATTCCCTACGCGTCACAGTATTTTTGCTCCGCCAGCGATAACACCCGGCTGCCATATGCCACCACTCTCTCGACGCCATCAACCATTTGTGACAAAACCGCGCCTATGCCCGTATCACAGGCATCCGTGTCAAGTATAAATCGCATCGTAAAATCCGGGTATCCCAACGGCGGTGCGTCTGCCAGTGCGGCCCGCAACGCTTCGAACGATTTTTGTTCTGCAATCCCCCATTGAAACTTCACACCTTTCCCGGTCAGCGTATGCAATGGTCGAGCAATCGTGGCAAAATCCTTAACGAACCGCCGATAATACGACTCAAAGCCCACAAAGCTACACACTTCCCCTGCTGTTTTCGGCACTGGCCATGTTCGCACACAACTCGTCTTTTCCAGATCAGTGGCCACTCCTGACGCGTTAACGACATGCCCCAAATACTTCACCGATGTTCTTAACAATTGGCACTTCTGTGGTTTAAATTTCAATCCGGTGCGCCACACTCTGCCAAAAACGGCGCGCAGCCGTTGCAAATGTTCATCGAAATTTCTACTGAAAACAATCACATCATCTAGATATATCAAGCATGACTCCCACTGCAGGCCCAACAACACGAGTTCCATTAATCGCTGGAAGGTCGCCGGCGCGGAGTGGAGTCCCATCGGGAGCACGTTAAATTGATACAATCCTTGTGGTGTCCGAAATGCCGTTTTAGGTCTTGACTCCTTATCCAGGGGCAATTTCCAAAAGCCCGACAACAAATCGAGGGTCGAAAAGATTCTGGCGCCGGACAGGGCGTCCAGTGAATCATCAATTCGTGGAAGCGGGTGCGCTTCCGCCACCGAAACTTTATTCAATTTCCGATAGTCAACACAAAATCGCATGGTTCCATCACGTTTTTTAACGAGGACAATAGGGGCTCCCCACGGGCTGGATGATGGGGCGATAATATCTTGCTCTAGCGTTTCATCAACAGATCGCCGAATACATTATTTCTCAAGAGGACCTACACGATGCGAATTTTACCTGATCGGGGGTGCGTTTCCCGTGTCAATACGATGCTGCAACAACGTCGTTCGACCCACGTCGTATTTCCCTGAACTGAACACATCCTTAAATTCCACTAGCAACGCATGCAAACTCGACCGTTGCACAAGCGATAACTCTGGGTTTTGTTTGTAAAGATCCCTTAACCATTCCGGATCGTCCTCCTCCCTTGACAACATTTCATCCTGTCCCGTAGCAAAACATGTTTTTGTTTCTGGACCCGGCGCACCCGTTGCGTGTGCCAACGTAGTGCCCCCTTGAATAACAACGTCTTCGTGCCCCGCGTTTACAATTTGAATGAAAGGATCACAATATGTTGGTATTATGGTCAAAGCTCCTGCCACGGTGGGCATTCTCGATACAGCATTTGAGGGTGTCAACAGCACTCCCTCCTGCAGCTCATCCCAAGGCAATTCCTTCTTTAACCGTAGCGGTACCAATATTTGCGATGCAGGCGGGACCCGCACGGTGTGGCTCACCACGGCCTGCACCACAGGGTTCGCCACCGCACATTTCGAAGGCGCCCCCAAAAATTTCATACATCTCCCCGACGGGAATTCCAAACAACCTTTTTCCACTGAAATCTTAATTGGCATCTTTTGTAATAAATCTGTGCCCAACAAACACGGTACCACCAAGGCCGTTGAAATCAAAACACTTCCCGTCACAATAACCTCCCCTATTTGAATTGTCGCAACCACGCAGCCCATAATGCCCAAACTACCCCCGTTTGCTGCTACGCATGGCCCTTCCACTGGCCCCAACGATCCAGGTGACGTCGGCAGCGACCGAAAAGTTTGCAACGAAATGAGAGTCGCCGACGCCCCGGTATCTACAATAACCCGTACCATAACACCTTGAATGCATGCCATCACATCCGACGATCCCGG